GATCCCTCACCATCCGCCTAACTACAACAACAACAACAACAAGAAGTCATCTCAGAGGAATTAACAAAACCATTGAGATCACCAACACAGATCAGAGAATCAACCGTTATGACACAAAATATACACATATGAATTGGTCCATAGGGAAAGACCAATGTCCATGAATGTTGATAAATGTCCATAATACATGTAGAATGTTAAAGTGTCCTGGATCATCACCACAGTCCTTTTAGTTGGATACTGCCCAACAGACCCTCCTGCATCGGCAAGGAAAAACTCACAAAAACCCAGTGGGAAAATAAGTGAGAAACCTCGGGGAGACCCACATTTGAGAAAGGGATCCGCTCCGACACGGACGGACGGGCTATAGATCCAGGACCTGAGCTACAGAACGAGGACCAGTGCCACGCAGCTGCCACAGTGCGTGGACAGGTCTGTTGCAGGACTGAAGCGCCCCCAGGCGGGTCGGGCAGAGCAGTCCGCAGGTGTAGATGGATAGGGCCGGTTCAGAGGTCCTGTTGTCGCGCCATGAAACAGACTACTACGAAAACAAACTACCAATTTCTCCTCCAGAAAACCTTACTTTTGATGCTTATTTTAAGGAGATGGAATGTTTTCAATAAATATAGAAAAATCATTTGTTCCATCAACCTGTCCAGTATCTACAGGTGATAACTAGCTTTTTTGCCCCTAACCTGGCACATGACATATTATCATGTTTATTGTCCCTGGTCTCTTATCAAATACATTGAAAAATAAATATATCAAAGGTAATAATAACACATTTTGAACCATGAATTGAAAAGTAATTAGTCTCATTATTATCTTTATTGGCCAAAATTGATTCTGAATATTTCTCCTTTGACGCAGGCTTCACAAAGGTGCTGCTGCTGTGATTGTTTGTATTTCCACCCACGTCAGGAGTGATTTTGTGAATGACTTCCTCTTCCAGGCAGTAGCTCTTGAGTGCTCTCAGATGTAGCCAAGCTAATTAGTGCACCGGCGAGTGGCACATGCTCCCACATACCTAGAGCCTCATAAAGATGTTTACCAAACCCACCGCAGATCGCTAACAAAGGCTGTGCAAGCTAAGCGGAGGAAAATCCCAGCTCTTTGTTGGCCTGAGATAATGAGGTCGTTCATTGAGGTTTTTCTCTCCAAGAGCATGTGTAATCCGCCGTAAAATGCCCATGTTACTGTTCCGCCAATTTCGTCCAAAAGTGAGAAGTTGTATCTAAGGCCTGTTTCTTTTTTTAAGATGAAGAGATTTTTTAATTGTCCCACAGTAGGGAATTTTCAGTGTTGCATCACCAGTTACAGAACAGTAGGAATGAGGAGCACACAACACAAGATGATATACTAACATGAAAAAAAATCTTTAACTTTAGCATAACAAAAGAAGCAAGTATAAAATCTATCTATCTTTAGCATAATAAGAAAGCTTTAGTAGAATGAAGAAGCAAGAATTCAGTATAAAATCTCTAACTTTAGCATAATATAAAAGTGGGTATAACATCTCTAACTTATAATAAAGAAGTAGGAATAAAATATCTACCTTTAGCATAATAAAAAAGAATATATAAAATCTCTAACTCTATCATAAAAAATAATAGACTTTATTTTGTAGTGCAAGAAGTATATAGTATCAGAATCAGAATCATTTTTATTGCCACGTAAGTAACAAACAAAGTTACCACTTGGAAATTGTTTTGCCAGAAAGCCACTTTGCCATTTGCGGCGCTGTGTAACAGTATACATACATCTGTACAGTTTAGCGGAAATGGCAAATGGAAGGAGAGTAAAGTCTGAAGCATTGCGTCCAGTCAGCAGAAAACTGTGGAACGACAGCGTTCGCTAATTTGTAGTGGATTCGTAAAGCCATTACGAGATAAGAAGATATCTTGTGTTGTGTTTGTGCTCATAATGTGTGTTTTATGTGGAAGGGAGTTTAATTTATTTTTCACTCGAAAATAATGATTTTCAAAGTGCTAAATAATGCACTTTTTAAAAATAAGTAAGAACTCTTTATTTGTAAAGCCCATTTCACAGTCGGGGCCACAACATTTTATGCTACTTTTACTTTCAAGCTACCATTTGGAATCTATTCATTTCAATTCCATATATTTGTGTATGGACCGAAATCACAAAAGCCGTCTCGGAGGACTTTACAAAGTTGTCGATTAGCCAACATTGGATCAGACAATTTCACGGTTTTATCAATGGAAATGCAATAATAAAAAACACATCCTTACAAACATACAAGGCATAACATTGTGTAAGTCATGTTTATTTCATAGACCAGTGTCTCCCAAAGTGGGGTCCGCGGCCCCCTGGTGGTCCGCGAGGGTACTGCAGGGGGGCCGCGGGAGGTCATAAAAAAAAAATAATAATAATGTAATCATTTTATGTTAAATTTATAATGTTTTGTTTGTAATATTAAAATATTTGTGTTCATTATTTGACTTTAATAATCCACTGTAATCATTTTTGTATTACAATGTTTGTAGCAGAGGCTATTTCCCCAAAATAAAATAACCAGAAGAGCCTATTCTTAATGTTGTCTTCTTGGTTATTATTTTGGGGGGCCACGCAGACCCGTCAGATTTTTAAGGGGGCCTCGGTGTTACTGAGTTTGGGAATGGCTGTCATAGACCTTTAAAGTAGCTGTTTGTGCTCAATCTTGTGTGTTACTATGGTGACGTCTGCGGTGACGTCTAATATGAACATGTCATACCTCATAAACAGCCTGAATCTTGTCAGGTTTTACTATCCATGTTGTCGGCCCCTGGACAAGTCTGATGAACAAAAGTGGCCCTCTTACTAATAAGTTTGTCTGACTCCGGTATAAATTAAAATGAACAACCTTCTATAGCTAAAAATACCACATTACATTGAAATAACTGGGTTAAAGGTTCTGGTAAATCTGTGCAAAAGCGGAGACAGATAATGCAGAGCCCTTGTGAGAAAATCTGCAGACTTATGTTTTCCTCAGCGGTCATTATTTTTGTCCTTTTGCTGATGCCAAATATTCTCAGTGCTTGGACCCTGGGCTGCTTGGCCACCCCCAAAGAGCAGCGTCTCACTGAAATCCACAGTGACAGTGTAACTTTTCCCCCTCATGCTGTCCTTAAATGATTCACTCCAGTGACGTGGGAAACACATTTGGTCCATTGCCATATGTTCATTTACACATGTGTAAACTTGAGTGCGCTGACGATATAGGACAGTGTGCTGATATAGTTCTGGACTCGTGGACTTCGACCAAACCCATGACGAGCCAAATGGCATGCTTTCTGTGCAGTCATCAGTGAGATAACCATTGGCCACCGCCACACGCCATAACAGCCAATTCCAAAGGTGTTGATGAGCTGTGGTGGCAACTGCGTCCGGTGGAGCCAAGATGGACGCCCCCAAACAGTTAGACAGATACCGATTTAGCCATAGACTGTATATTGATGGACGTTGCCAACCCACAATGAAGCCAAATAGAAAAGTTTTGCTCCAACTCGCTCTGACTCCTGTTGACTTTACATTGAAAAGTAAACTCCTCAAACTCAGTAACTGTTTGTGTCACAATCAGAATTTTGGGCTTAAAAAATGGTTTGTTTAGTGCTCTCCATGCTCCTGGGGTTTATATTGTGATACATTGTCTTTGAGCCATAAGCACTGACCATTCATTTACAGGGAAAACTCCAGCTTGTCTTAAGTTATTCTCTTTTGTCCCCATTGGGTAATTTGTCCTTTGAATTTGGTCCATCCTGTAATGCCACTAAGGCCTCGATCAGGAGCAGTCGTCGTCACACTGCAGCTCCTAGGCAATGTTGTCTTAGCAATGTTAGCAATATATTATTATGCTTCTGGCCTGCTACGGCGCAAAGCTAACCCTTTCGGAACAAATGCCCATATACGGAAGTTGGATCCTCCTTACGTCTCCAGTTTCCACTTCTTACATACGGTCTATGTTTGGAAGATAACATTTTCTTGAACTTTGTCACAATTGTAAAGCATTCAAACAACTTCTTTCACAGTTTGCAAACCGGAAAACATCTCCAACGCATTATTTGCGAAACTTGTTTGGAGTGCTTTGACAGAATAAACAGAACTTTGCACTTGGAAGAGCATCTGGCAAAGAAAGCCAAATAACAGCTAACAACTGTGAGAAGGAGAAAATATTCACACAAAATAGTAGTATGGAAGTCTGTAGTGTCGTAATGGGAGTTTTGGACCGTGTCATGTCATGTCCCTTTTCACTTCAATATTAAATGCTTTGATACAGTCTCAGCTTCAGCTATTCTCCCAGCGGCTTATGTTATGTGAGGCACCTGTATGGCATTTAGGTTTGGCAGTGGGATTCTTTGCTTTGTCATGTTAAACTCTATTGGAACAGATTTGTGCGAGCTCTCTAAATATTGAACAGTAGACTGAAGACTAGTTTTAAATTCACTGAGAAGAAAAAACTTGTTTCAGACTTGCTAATGGTGGAGTAGGACTGCACGCTTCATCACAATCAGAATCACAATACTTTGGCTTAGAAGTATCTTTAATTAGAGAAAGAGTGTAAAGAAGCTTCTAACATTCTAACCCTTAAACACAACAAAGACATAATTCACTTTTTACATTCATTTGGCCATTTATGTGGTCGCAGTTAACAAATCGCAAAGACTGCAATTATCAAAGTTCTTTGCAAACACAAAATAGCTAAAATAGAGCAGCCTTCTAGTGGGACTGAATGAGACAAAATTGGTAAAATTGCAGGACTTGGCTCTGTCCTAAATATCTATTTACTTCTTATGACTGATTAAACTGAAATGTAAACTGTAAAATGTATGTGCTCAATCTGATCTCACAATTTGTTTTTCTTTTTTTTATATTAGCATTTTCCGAAAAAATGAATCAATGTTAGCTGACCTTGAACATTTACCCTTAACCTTAGCATGTTTTGTAATGTGAATAGAAAACTGTCCATATACTGACATGTTCTTTGTCCATGTTTTTCTTAGGGACCAGAGGGGCCACCGGGACCCAAGGTAAGCTCACGCAAACAGCATATTCCCACAAATGTACATATTTCACATACTCTTGCCCATTGATGTATTTGTCTCTGTTTCCATAAATATTAATGTAACCTCTCTATTTTTACAACAGAAAGTGTTAAGGCTTGCTTAGAACTAGGAGATTATGACAAAAGCTTAATCAGCTGGAATAAACATAGAAACGTAAACTTGAGGATTAAGTACATAAAGTGCACCTAGGGCAAGTCAATAGAGCGCTACAGTGGGGGAGACCGGGAGTGGAGAAGAATATAGGTTGGGTTCTAGAAATGTATTTCAGTTGGAGGGCAGGTACCAATTCAACACTATGGGAAAGAAGCAATTTTTGACAAAATGTTTGGAGGGGAAAAGAGGGGAACACTTTTGTAAATTTTACAACAATGATTAGATTCACAAACCATATTTTTCTTATATCTGTAAGTGCTACTGTCCGACATCTGCATATGTCTTTGAGTATAGGAAATTGCTTGAAGACATCTTTATGATGAAATAATCTGGCCATAGTTGATGAAGACAAATAACTGGACGTGGAACTTTGTGACAGTTTTTGTTGGTGCACGATTCTACCTTCAGATCTTTCTGTGTGGAGTTTGCATTTCTCCTTGTGTCTACGTAGGCAGAGCTGGTGCTTGCCTTGTGGGGCCCTAAGCAGAAGTCAGCATAGCGGCCCTACACCTAATTCAAGAAACCATAAAAATTAAAGCAAGCAGATGTTTCATTACACATATATATATATATATATATATATATATATATATATATTACAAATAAATAATTCACACTAATCAAGCAATAAGTCTTGATTAGTGATTGATTCAACACAAGATAAAATAACATCTGAACTTTTCACACACGATAAAATAAGATAAGATATGATAAGATAGACTTTATTGATCTCACACAGGAGAAATGTTCATGTCACATCTGGCATGGATAGAATCACTCAGATTTGTGCAAAAGACAGAAGTGTGCAGACATGTTAAAATACAAAAATAAACAAAATACGAATATTTTTAATATATAAATAAATATATATTTTAAATAAAATATAAATAATAACTACTTTTATTATTATCACCATATATTATATTACCTTATTACCTTACCATATATATTACCTTAATAATAACATTACTAGTGCATTATACTAATACTGTTAGTTTTATGTCTAAATTACAAATATAACAAAATACTTTCGATTACCAAAAGAAGCGCGTTTATTTTGAAGGTGTCCACCTTATCCACAACAAAGAGCTTGACTGATGAAGTTGTTTTGGGACTCGTTAATACCAGAAATAAAACATGTATTGAACTTTCTTTGCAGACAGTCAATGCGTTGGGTCGGCAACCACACGTTTTTTTACCCGCAGTTCGCTGTCATGGCGTCTTTTTTTCCTTTTTTCATAACTCCGCTTCACAGCGTCTCAGCCTCTCCTCGGGGCTGCGCGACTGACAACAATAGGGTGGTGGGAGGGGAGGGTTGAAAGTGCGACGTAAGGACGTAACATATAGGATCATGGGAGACAGCATGTGACAACTTTAACAACCAATCAAATTGGTGATTCCGGATAAGAAGGGCCCCGTAACTGCACAAGTGAGAGCGATGAAAAAAAAAAAAAAGAAGAGTCCGCACTCCGGGGCCCTTCCAGCTGCGGGGCCCTACGCATATTGCGTAGTCTGCGTATAGGAAGCGCCGGCTCTGTGCGTAGGTCACGAAAAACCCTCCTTGACCTCACTTCCACCCCCCTCTCTCTGGGGCCCGGACTCTCCTAAAAAAGAGATTCTCCGTGGAAATCTCAGTGGAATTTTGGTTAATTGAAGGTCAAAAATAAATTGGCCCATAATTAGATTGGCCCAGGATTAAGACTAGCTACAATAGTTACCAGGAAAGTTCACGGCCATCACAGTTGGCTTGAAAGGGGCTGTGTCAAAAGTTCAATAAAACGATTACTTTACTGTCGTATGTATTGTACTCACTAGACTTAAATTTGGTGTAACTTATTTCTCTGTTGATGTTGAAATGTCACTATAAACAAAAAGATTACTTAAACTGGTAAATTGAGTCCAGACTCAATTTCAAAGCACATACCAAAATAACTAAATTTTGGCATTTTCCCATCAAAATCCAGACGGCTGTACTGTTTTTCTTTTCGACTAATACACCTCTGAACCAAGACTAGGGTTGACAGCCTTATACTACTGTATATCTCTTTGGAATGCTGTGATGTCACATGAACTCAACCGATTGGTGAAAATAGCGAGAATACAAGCAGAGTGAGCTGAAGAGGGAGCAGAAGAGGTTAGTGGCTGATGCAGGGAACAGATGTAAGCCATATCCAACCATCAGGTAGCTGCCAGTGTTTGTTCAGTGTAACCCAATCACATGCTTCCTGTCTGGGCCCATCTCGTGTGTGTACGTGTGTGTGTGTGTGTGTGCGTGTTTGTGTGTGTGTGCGTGTTTGTGTGTGTGTGTGGGGTCATCGATAATACCCTGCAGTGTTAATGACTTAGAGCTGCCGGCCCACAAGGGTTCGTGTTTGTTGAAAAAGGCCATCTATTGTTTCCTAATCTTTTTTTTTCTGTTTTTTTTTCTTTTTGAGAGTGGTATGATTGATTCAAGACGTAGGGTCAAGTGTCCGTCAGCTGATCCTACAGTCCTTTGTGTCCCAGAGTACTTTATGACAGCGTGAGTCTGCTCTGAGGAGAGGAAAATGGGGGGGGGGGGGGGGGGGGGGGGGTTGTATAGCATGTGGCGTCTGCAACGTTTTCTCCAGGTGCTCCGGTTTTGCCTACCACTAGTAGGAGTAGGTGTAATAGTTTCTGTAACAGTTGTAGAAATAGCAGTAGTTGTGAGATAGTCTTGTAGTAGTAGAAGTTGTTGGAATATTAGTAGAAGCACTATCTGTAGCTGTTTGAGCAGTAGTCGTTGGAGCAGCAGTAGTAGTATAATGTAATAGTTGTAGTAGAGGTAATGGTAATAGTAGTGGTAGTACTAGTAGTACACGTAGTAGTTGTGTAGTAGTAGTAATATTGGTACAAGTAATTACAGTAGCAGTAATAGAATTGTAGTAGAAATGAATGAGTAGTAGTATAGTAGTATGAAGTGTGGAAGTAATTACAGTAGCAGTAGTAGTAGTAGTAGCAGTAGCAGTAGTAGCGTAGTAGTAGTAATTCTACAAGTAATTACAGTATCAATAATAGCGGTAGCAGTAGTAGTGAAGTAGTAGTAATAGAGGGAGTAATTACAGTTGGAATGATAGTAGTAGTGGTAGAAGTAGCAGCAGTAGAATCTTATATTAGTAGTAATAGTACAAGTAATTACAGTTGCAGTAGTAGTAGAAATGGAGTGATAGTGAAGTAGCTTACAGCACTAAGTGATTGTTATGAGCAGGATTAGGGTTAAATAAATACTTTTATTGAAGCTTTTTGACGATCCACCACAGACTCCGTGAGTTACGTTGCTGTATTCCAACTGCGGTCGCAATAAGTCTCCTTTATTATGAAAAATAAAAAAAAAGATAATCATAAAACGCCAATAAAACACGGCCACCGGTTTATTGCCGTAAAACATGTTTGCCTGTGTGAGCGTAGATTACATATTTTAAATCCCACTTTGAAACTCAGCAGAATTGGGCCCAAATCCCCCATTCTGGCCGCTGCTTCTATATGGAACACAAGTTTATACAGTCTGAGATTTTGACGTGAGATAAATCAGGCTGTTTGAGTGCTCTGTCTGGGGATGGGAACAATAGACCGGGGCCAACGTGTTTTGACGGTGGAAATTATGGTCCTGAATTTGTCATGAGGTGAAATGAATATTGCAGGACTGAAATTAAAGCGTAAATTAACTCCCTCTTTGGGGAATCTCACTTGGTTTTAGGCACCTTCGCCATCAAACTGCATCCCAACCATTTGGTAAAGGCCTATAATAATAATAATAATAAAAAATGTGTTATCAGTTCTCCTACTTCTTAGAAAATCCAAAAAAAGAAAAAAAAAATCATTGCTTTCTTCAAGGAGTGAATGTTAAAAGGTTGATCAAATGAATCCAAGGTAAAGGCAAAATACAAAAATCCAGAACTGAAAGCAAGCCAAGAACAAACGTGTGTAGACAATGAATGAACAATTAGTGAAGAAAAGGAAATAAATAAAAATACAGAGACACGGGGAATCCCATTAGGGCGGGGCCAACAATCAACAGGAGACAGGAAGCAAACTCTAAAACTACAAGAAAACAAATATTGTAAATAAAACCAGGTCAAAAGAATTAACCCAACACTTGAGTGTGACATATGTGAGTGGCTTGTAAGTCAGGGGTCTCCCAGGATTCAAGTCATTACTAAATGATTTACTTTTGAGTCATTATGTACATATCTTTTAACCGTAAATAGGTCGATTAATGCAGATATACTTAACTGTACCATACTGGTTTATTATGCTTGTGTGTTTTCCATGATTGTATGTAGTTATTAAATGAACTAAATTAACATTTTGACCTGGTTTTATTTTGCTATTTGTTCTCTTGGAGTTGGAGTTTTCTTCTTCCTGTCCTGTTGATTGTAGCCCCGCCCTAACGTGATCCACCCGTGTCTCCTGTGTGTATTTATACCCTGTGCTTTTTGTTGTCCATCCATTCTCTCTACCACGTTTGTCCTGTCTAGTTTTGTTTTTTGAAATTACATTTGATTTTCAGTTCTGCATTTTGGGTTCCTTCCTTCATCTTACCACATGACAACTATCCATTTTTCCCGCGTCCGTTTGTCTTCTTTAATAGTAACAGTCTCCCCATCCAATCAGAACCACAGTTTTAACGATTAATAAACAGAATCTTGTCACCATGGAGATGATCCAGGACACTCGACATTCAACAACATTTAGTCAACTGGCTATTACAATATGTTTCTGGTTATAAATATAGTTTTTATGGATTTGTTTTAAGGAATAACACTTAACACTTGTATTTTCGAGTGCTAGAAACAATGATTAATGAAAGATTTTAAAGCAGTTTTTCTTGACTTCTTGTGTCTCTAAACATAACTTTTTAATGTTTGTTGTCCTCTCCAGGGTTCCTTCGGGCCTCCAGGTGTACCCGGTGTGGACGGACTCAAGGTGAGTGGGTGAAATACAGATATGCGCCACAAAAATCGAGCTAAAACGTTCAAAGACATCCAGCATAATCTCTGTCACAATTTAGATGTTAGAAGCAGAATTGTCCTGCCACGACTTTGGACAATTTCAAACCACCATCAATTTAGCAGGAACCCGTCAGTCTGAACCACAAAATGCCTCAAAATGACACAATTTCAGCTCGTTTTTGTGTTTGAATGTTCTTCTCAGCGCACGCGACACAATCAGAAAGCGAAGTAAAGCCGAGGCGTGCGTTTGTGTGACCAGAGTGTGTGTGTTGTATGTGTGTGTTGTATGTGTGTGTGTTGTATGTGTGTGTGTGTTAAGTGTGTCTTGGTCTTGGCTGGTCTCTTCCCATTTGCCATCAGTGTTAAAGTGAGTGTGTGCGTGTGTGTGTGTGTGCCTGTGTATGCGTGTGTGTTTGTATGTGTCTATCTGTCTGTCGATTTGTCTGTGTGTGTGTGTGTGTGTGTGTGTCTTTGTCTGTCTGTGTGTCTGCCTGTGTGTGTGCGTGTGTGTGTGTGTGTGTCTGTGTGTGTCTGTCTGTCTGTCTGTCTGTCTGCCTGTCTGTCTGTGTGTGTCTGCCTGTGCGTGTACATGGGTCTGTGTGTGTGTCTATCTGTCTGTCGATTTGTCTATCTGTGTGTGTGTCTGTGTGTGTTTGTGTCTCTCTCTGTCTGCCTGTCTGTGTGTGTGTCTCGTCTCTTGCCATCAGTGTGTGTCTGTCTCTGTCTGTCTGTCTATGTCTGTGTGCGTGTGCGTGTGTGTGTGTGTGTCATAGTGAGGTCATGTGTTTTTTAGAAAGGTGTAATGGTATTAGTTATTGCGTTATTTGTATTGTAGCGTAGTTGTTGTGTAGTATTTTGTTTAGTTTTTGCCATTGTAATCTAATTTCCCATAAATAATCGTGTATTTTGTGCACGTTTGAAAGAAATAAACACATGAAAAACGAAAAAAAGAACAAAGACCAATGAGAAGATTACATGCGAGTCGCCATCTTTCTCTCGATCCTCACGAGGTGATTGGACAGAGAGTGGATTCGCTCGGGTGGCTGTAATAGGAACCATGCTAGTTTCATTTTAGGCCTTATTTCTGCACTTATATGAGGTGGTTTTTGCCAGCACCCATGAAATAGAACCAAGCGCACTTATAAAACACAATCTCCCGCCGTGTGTAGGTGTCATTCATGCAGTAAGTTGGAGTGTAGGGTGACCAGCTGGGGGTATAACTGGCGCACTGCATTTGGATCAAGCCTATAGATTTCTCTCCTATCAGATATTGTTTAATAACGCAATTTTATCGCCGTTTCAACCAGTTCCAGATGTGTGTAATACATTGGTTTCTTTATATTGGGTATTTGTACCAGCACTGTGGCTAAGATGTAAAAGTAGTAATAGGATTTTGAGCCGAGGAGCAGACAGTATATTGGAAATCTGAAGTTTTTTCATATTTTTGGGTGACCCTGCCTGAAAACAACTTGTGATAACCGCTGCTTTACTTTTAAGCAAGTCTCAAAGCATGCTAAATGAATTAATGCTAATCCTAATCTAGGACTGTTGTCTATTCTTGTATTCTTGTATGTGGTCTGTTTGAAATAATTGGTGTATTGTAAAAAAAAAAACATATATATATATATATATATATATATATATTGAAATAATCTCCCGTTCCCCGCTTTGAGACTTAACTAATCAGAGTTAGTTAAGTGGGTTTAGATTCTAGCTTTTAGGCGGGGCACTCTGGTTTCCCCTAAAGAGTCCTCCAGCTCTGGTTCAGACCAAGCTGAGATTCTCAATATGTGGAGATGGGACCCTGGGCGCTGCACTACAATGGCCTCAGTGACATTGCAGGATTGGGTCTAATGCAGAGGACACATTTCCCAACAGGGAAAATTAAGCACACCGTTTAATTCTAAATCTATTTTAGATCACACAACAATAACAAAAATCCAGGAAGAGCATCCGCTTGGTTTGACAGCTCACAAAACCCTGCCCTGCGGTATATTCAACATGACAGATTCTTTGTCTTTTAAACCTAGTAACTTCATATTTCTAGTAGTTGTAAAAAAAAAATATAATTCATATTTGACACTGAGCTGAAAGATTTCAGATTGATCGATTGATGGTGGTTTTCGCTCACATTTATGTCTGAATAAGCTTTGTCTAAAAAAACGCAAAAATTCCATGCATGTAAAAACCGGTGATAGAACCAAACTGAATTGAGATTTGGACTAACTTTTGTTTTGGTTTTTAAAAGGCATGGTATAAAAAATGATCAATGCTAGTACAGAGTCGCTCATACAGTTACAATTTCCTTAATGGTGAAAATGGATTCATTCTTGGTCACAAACTGCTGTCCTTTGCCCTTTAAACCGCTTGTTTTTTCACTCATCACTCATATTAGTTTCAGACGGCTCCTACTGATGATGTGGCTGGTTTGGAAAAGTCAAAAGGTTAATTGTCTTTGGCATCAAACTCACTTGAGGTCGGTTTGTCAGCTTCAACCCACAAACTCAAAGCAACCACAAGCACCCAGCCTCGGCTTTCTACTTTCTCCCAAATCCCACCAAAGACATTTACACTTGTTTATGCTTCCAAACCGTGCGAGTGCCAGCAATCTTGTCAAAATTAGAACTTTTTTCAGTATTTTGGTATCATGGAAGATTTAAGATTCGCAACATCTGTGACGCGAACGTGACCCAAGCTAAGGTTATCAGTTTCTGGAGCAAAAACAAGGTCCTGGTGTGTGTGGCAGTTGTTGAAACAGGCGTGTGTTGTGCTGTCCATAGGGAGACACAGGCTTCTCAGGAGTGGACGGCATCCCAGGAGCCAAGGTCAAATATTATCACGAAAAATTCATAATCATTCATTCAGCACAATTCCATGCACTTTTTTTATATACATACTCACATTTCCACAACAGAGAGAAAGACCAATCTGTCCAGAAATGCAGAGATATTCATAGTGGTTTATCAAGACCGAGACCTTTTAATAATAAGTAGTTATGGAAAATATTAGTGTCAGAATATGTATGTAAAAAACTATGATATTTTAACGAAAACAAATAGACTTATATTTTATCTCCCACTCGATAGATTTGGAGAGATCTCCTAGGCAACAGACGCTGAAGTGTTGTGTTATTTATGTTAATTATGTCTGAAATGATAAAACAGGGCTTTGTTTAGACACGTATATATTAAATAAGAGGAATAGATATTTTATTCGTCAAACAGTGGTAAGATATCAGTGTTGCATCACAGGTTACAGACTAGTAAAAATGAGGAGGAATGAGTAAAAACATATATATAATAAATAAGTATCAACCAATATACTCTAGTGCAAAGAAATACTTATATACTGTATGTATATATGCAGTATTACCATCAGGCTCAGCTGTGTGTTGTACAGTAGACTAATACAAAGTTGTCTCGGCTGGATTAGAATATTACATTAGAATAATGCAGTGTTATCTGGAAAACAGAAAAAATAGAAAGACTATTTCACATTTTAGGCAAAGAAATCTTTTGTTTAAATAGCATCATTCCATACCATTTTGGAATTTTTTTTATTCATTTCTATTTATCATTACAAGTGATAATACGTGATTATCCATTTAAAAGTTATTTCATTTCTGTAATTCTTGTGAAACCATTTTATTTTACAGATTCATTACATGCAAAGATACATATGACAAGCCTTTGTTTGGTCATTCTCAAAATATTCACGTTTTTTGAGGGTTTTTTTATTCAGGGTTTTTACAGCTGTGAGACAATTATCAACATTACAACAATAAAAGATTCATATAACTCACTCTGAGCCTGTCATTATATATTCACTTCACATTGAAAGTTAAATTAGCGAAGGAAATGGACGTTTTAAATTCAATCCACTCAGTTTCGGAGGCTTTTTAATCCAATTCAATACCATCTATTATTATACTCTGTATGCAGTGCAGTTACGTAATTACAGGTTTAGACGGAAAAAAAATTCTGATCATATTGCACATATAAAAAATTAAAAAAAAAATCTACATCTATTTTTTGTGTTTTCAGTGTTTCTCAATCCACTCTTCATTTTAATGTGTGTCAGACTGGATTATTATCGTTTCACCTTCATTTCATTCCCTCCATATTTGGGATTGTTTTGCCGTAGCATCATTCTGTACGTTGTGTCAAGTGTATGTTTGTGGACGGACAAAGACAAGTGAACTTTCCCTCCCCCCAAAAAAAAAATATAATAAAGTTTTCTGAGTCTGCCCCATGATATCACACATGAACCCCCGGCCTGAATATCCCACACATGAGACGAGATTGCCCGTAATTCTCTGCTTCCTTTTCCCAACAGGGCGAAACGGGAGAGCGAGGTGAAAAGGTAAGGTTCTAATTCTCGTCTCTAAACATTATTCTAAGCGTAAGCTCCAGATCCACGCCGTGTTTGAGCAGCTCACGGAGAAAGAGGACTCGACAAGTTCACCACGGTTTCACCACCAGGGACTGAGTAAAGCCAGGAGTGAAGAAAGGAGAGTCCAAATGTCTTACTAAGACTAAGCCACTTTAGCTCCAATCCAATCCACTTTATTTGTATAGCAAGTTTCTAAAGTGATAAAAGTAAGTTATTTAAATAAACAGGTTTGCCAAATTTATATGTTTGAAAAAGTAGAATAAGTAAAAGATTTTTATTTATGAAATAAAAACAATCCAAATGTAAATATGTAAAAACAATAAAATACCAGTAATCCAGATAGATCTAAAAGTAAAACTAACAATAATAAAGATTATTTTAAATTTAAAAGCCAGAGATAAATGCGTCATATTAAGACACTCCCAGAGCAGTCAATTTGACAGTGTGTAGTTACTCCGCGTATGTACCTTTTTGGTTTAAAGTTCTACCGAGCGGCACGGTGGCTGAGTGGATAGCACTCTCGCCTCTCAGCAAGAAGGTCCTGGGTTCGAATCCCGGTCGAAATGCGGTCTTTCTGAGTGGAGTTTGCATGTTCTCGCTGTGCTTGCGTGCACACTAGGTTAAATCATCCAGCTCTGGTAGTCCTGACCAAGCCGAGCATCAACATCTGGAGATGGGTTTCTGGGCGCTGTTACTACGGCGACCACTGCTCCTGACGTAAGCCTTAGCAGTATCAGGATGGGTCAAATGCAGAGAATGAATTGCCCTACGGGGATCAATAAAGTGCACCTTTACTTTACCTACCATTAGCTCCAATCATCCTTAAAATGTTTGTATGTTCTTGTACGTACTGTTTATATGTACATGAACATACAATCATGTGTGTTTGTGTCATGTATAATATGTGAGTACTCTGTGTCATTGATTCACGTTTATAAGCTTGAAAAAAAAAACAGTAAATCTTTGTAAAAATAGTCTGGAAAATATATTCTAGACATTGTACCTGCTTCTTTCTAATTCATGTCACGAAGAAAAACTATTTTCAAAGAGTTCAAAGACATCACTGTCAGTGTTGGCCCCTTCGCTGTCTGGAGCTCTGGTATTCCAGTTAGATTCTGTATTTAAACACGTGGGCTATCTTTACAAAGGATGTAATCTTTTCCTAAATATTAATAAACGGTGACACTTACATTTGAACAGTAAAAGAGGTGCTTAAAATAGACGCAGGGTGCCGTGCGGTCGTAGCCGTCTCCAGCGCCAGCGATGATGTCAGATTAGTAGACTTTATGATTTAACACACTTATCATCTTCCTGATATAAAATCATCAGGATTTATTCAAATTGAAATGCAAACGTAGCTGCCAGGAACTGCAATAAAACTCAAGTTTCAAGCTAAAGTTTTCACTGCAGAGTTTTGTAAGTATTGGAGGAGCCAGATGCATCAAAGTCTAATGTGCTGACTTTGGCCGGAGTCGGTTTCAGCAAATAAATCCAGGTAGAAAACTGGTCTGATATCTGGGAATACCGTCCTCTAATACTGATATTTGTGTGATGTTGACAGGGCGACATGGGCGAAGACGGACTCAAGGGAGACGCTGGGGAGAAGGTATGTGAAAACACAACAGAGTATGTTTTATACGGGAATAAATCGAAAACATAAACATAACTATTGACGTACATATATTCAAGGATTTATTTTTTATTAGGTTTTTGAGCGGTCTCCTATTGCCGATGCAGGCGCGTTTAAGGACACTGCTGATGGGGATATTTAAGGACATTTATGCACATTTGTTAATATTTATGGGCATTTGTCATCCCATTTCCTATGGACCAACCTATGTGTTTGTTGTTTAAACGCATTTACTGCGTTTAAACGGATTCTCGGATCTGTTGTTGGTGATGTTCTCCGAGACCACTGCTGTTGTGATCGAGGGCAATGCAAAAATTGAATTGAAATCGATTTGAATTTATTGACTTGGAAGTACGGAGAGAACAGCAAAGTTCACATATTGCACTGTTCAACATTCCTCTAGACTTCTGTCCACATGTGATCAGCCATTGTTCAGAAATAATTGCGTTAGAGGCAATGTCGTGCTTTTCTGTCTTTTTATCATATTATAGATTTGTTTGTTTGAATGTGGTGCTTTCGGGGTCACATATTTTCTTTGATGATATGGCCTGATTAACTTAAGTCACATTTTGGGAAACTAACACTATATAACAGAAACCTGATGCCTTTGGAGTGTAGTTTTAAAACATCCAATCAGGTAAAAGGTAGTTTGAAAAAGGAGTGGACCAACCGAGTGCTGACGTCACCCCTAGTGTTTGCCTCCTGCGGACGAAGCTGATTTAGAGATTGCTTCAACAGGCTCTGGGGGCGAGAAGCCGGAGCCAAATTCATGGGTAGCAATGGCATAGCAACCAAAGAGCCAATCAGGAGACAATATTGAACTAAAAAACACCTGGATCACCAAGAGCACTAAACCACAGATTTTTTTGTAAGCCAAAAATTGTGTGACGCAAACGGTCACTGAGCTAGAAGAGAAAATTTTATCCATGACAGCCTCCTTGATAGGCTTCATTGAGCTAGCTGGCTACAATTGTCCATCTATGCTTGAAACTTCTCTTGAAAGTAAAAAGTTCTGCAGCCGTTGCCGTCTCCTGTTGGCTCTTGTCTCCGGGGTTATTTCTCTTTGACGTTGGAGCGTGCTCGGTTGAGGGCTCCGATCACGGCCTCTTCTGCGTCTGCTTTATGTGACAGGAGACGTAGGTGGAGTGGCATCAGCTGTAGCCTCCTCGTAGCCCTCGTTACTCCGGTAATGCAGACTTAATTGCTATTCTACACTGCTGCTACACTCTCCGCATTCATCTCTGAGCATTCATCATTAAGACAGCTTGTCAGATTGGGATTTCAAGAGAGCGCAAAGAAAAACCACGGCAAGCAGATTGTAAACGCTTCAGGTTGTAATGGATTCATAATTGCATCCAAAAACAGTTTTGTTCGGGACGATTTTTGTTTTCTGCTATGACCTCATACCCAATAGTATGTTGTGCTCCGTCTTGCACTGCTATTGTTTAGTTTGTTTTTGTTTCTTTTTTGCATTTTGACAAGATAATTTTATCAAGACAAAATTAACATTTTTAATAATAATCTGCACTGCTATTATTGTGTTAAAGCTGGGGTACCTAACTATTTATTTTTTCATTACTTAGAGCCTGTAGTAACATTGAATTCAATAGATCTTGGTCAAAAGAATTACTTTCTATATATATTATACTTTATATATAAAAGGTTGTAAGACATGCTGTCTATGCTATGCAAAAGAGTACAGTCGAGCCTTGTGAGCCACTATTTGACACTTTGGGCTGAGAGCTGATTGTGAGTGGGTGGTCCTCTCTTTTTCACTTTTCTGTCTTAAAAAGCTGATCTAAAAATGTGATAGAGGACAAAGAAACATGAATGTGAAAACTAGTGATAGAGGCAAAATATTTTGATACTGAGAAACTAGTTACAGTGATTTTCTGGTTATTTTTGTTTGTTTGAAAGGTACATACCACAGTTTTGAAGGAGCAGCTTGTAAAAAGCTGACCAAAAGTGGTACTGCACTCTCCCTGACTCAGGTTGCGAGATATGCAGACAAATCCAGCTGGGACCATAATATCTGAATAAATAGTTTTGTCAACAACAAATCTATAACCAACACCTTTATCACAAAGATAGAAATCCTGGTTTTATTCCTTATTTTGTCGTTAATGATTTGAGACCTTTTTAAGTTCTGCAGCCACATGTTACATTACAAGTGAGATTAGCTCGACGCTGTGAATTCTGGCAACCCGGATCACGGACTTTCTGATTGGTAAAACGGTTTAGGGCGGGATATCGAAATGAAAACAATAACAAGATTTAGGGGCTGGAAAACTTTGAAATCCAAATATCTCGGCTGAACTACTGTTATCAGTTAAAGAAGTATTTTAAAAGAGCAAGGTTTATTAATGCCTTTTGAGAGATTAAGACCATTTAATGATGATTTTACCTGAAAATCTTACATATTGCTTCTTTAAGTGGTATTTATAATCAACTTGAAAGTAGGTCATTTTGTTCTTCCAATTACATTCGAACCATTTCACATAGCTGCCCAGAGCACAAGCCCACAGTCCACTCCACTTCCCGCACGAGAAAAACATAAACAAAAAAGCAGCAACTTCAGAAGGTGTTCTCAAAATGTCAGCCTCAATTTATGGTTCCTCGCCATAGAAACACTTTGATAACTTCACACTTTATGGCCCATTCTCTCTGCCCTCATCTTCTTTTTGTAAGCGCTGTCAAAGCCGATCGGCCAAAAAGACACCATTTGGAAGAAACAGATGAAGGGATACCATGTGTGGAGAATGAGCGAACAGAAAAGAAAGGCGATAAAACATTCGGAATGCCCCTGCAGTAGCCAAAAGTGGTAAAAACGTTGGATTTTCACTATTTGAAAATAGGTTTGAGAATTGAGACTTCTGTTTTCTGTCACCTGCCAGTCATTGTATGCGTTTTATAAGGCCATAAAAAGCGAAAGAAGGTGCCGTAATTGCATAGATGGGAATAGTATAAAAGCAGCATTGTATTTGTCAATGTCAGGAAAGCATAAGTGACTGCGCCTTAGCATATGGCAGGAACAATCGGCTTCCCGTAAAGACATAACCTAATACGCAACCCAAAGGACTTTAACAGATAGGCTCTACTCTATATGTGAAGAAATCCATGCAGCAGGAGCGTATATATGCAGTCTGTATTGGTCTGGACATGTGCTGGACAGAGAGGAAACCCGAGAGCGGACAAGGGGGAAGACGGGGCGAGAAGACATCTTTAATCTTTGGGGCTGGGGATGCCAAAGTTAACAATACGCAGCACGCACCGGAGGGAGCGAGGTGAGAGGTGAAGCTGTGAAAGAGAAACGCCATAATACAAAAGGAGACTGTTTAGACTGCGGGGGGGCCGAGCGAGACCCACTGATAGAAGTCAAGGTCTTTGGAGTGAATGAGTGTGTGTATTGACAGAGATTCTCCATATGGGCAAAGCTAATTTTTAATCATACGTGTACAGGAGGTTGTAGAGGTCTCCCAAAGTATGTTTGAGTTTATGAGTTTTGTCTATAATCAATCCATCATATATATTTATTTCAAACTTCCGTACATATTCAACAGAAACAGGTAACACAGGAAACAGAAACATACAAATGGAAAGGGTTTGGATGAAGTGGTTGCTTATTTGGCTCCAACCCTCCCTTATCCAACACAACACAACACAACACAAAAGACGCACACACACGTGACAAACTTCAGTCTAACCTTTTTACTCACTTCAAATGTTGGATATTTAATTGTTTTTGTTGTTGACTAACGATCATAGAAATTAATAAACAACACAATGCTAACCCGCTAGTTCTATGCAACCTAATCGGGAATTCTTCATGGGCAAAGTTTTATTCCTACTCACTTGACTCCATTCACTTTGAAAATTGAAAGAAATTAAAAAATATACCGTTTGTGTCACACTCACCATTTTGGGTTTAGCGCTCTCTTTGATCCTGCTGTTTTTGTTTTGATAATGTCTTCGTGAATCCAGATATGTCCCCATAACAATTTACCAATCTGGAGCCTTCACCCTCTGAACTCAGACCAGCGCCACTCCTGATTGGCTCTTTGATTGCTAGGTCGTTGCCATCCACAAAGGTAGCTGCAGATTCCCAGCTTTTCCACAATAATGCAAACACTTTGGGTGACGCCAGGACTCTATCTAATAGTCCACTTCTTTCTACAGTCTATAACACAGTATCACCAAGGCAAGGCTAGTTTATTTGGTTAGCACCATTTGTAAGCAGGTACAAAGTAAAATAGTTATTGTGTTTTTGTTTTTCTGCATGTGCACAACAGGTTGTTATGTGGCACTAATCAATTGGCACAAACCCTTGATAAATATGAGCCCAATAACCAAGTAGTGCTGAACAAGATTACTTATACATAAAATGAGCAGAAAAAAGATTTCTGAAGAAAAGAATGTTGAGAAGATAGTGTGTTTGCTCGTGGTCCCCACGTTCAAGATGGTGTATATGCTACTAACACACTGGTGCAGCGAGAACGTCCAGGGTTCGAGTCCACCTCAAGGCTTGTGTCTGTGTAGGTTTTCTCCGGGTGCTCTGATTACAATAGATCGGAATGTACAAATTGAGTGAATAGATGGTGTTGGTTGAGGGCCTTGATGCGCCTGTGTGTTCGTCATTACTGTGGGTGGAGAGAATGGAAAAATATCTGAACTCAGAACATTGTAAAGCGCTTTGGGAGTGAAAATTACTTACTTACAGATGTGTAACGGTAATAAGCCATAGAGAGATACACAAACAGAGCTCATACTGCTCCGATACAACAGCTTTACAATTTTATTAATTTTTATTTGTCTCATTCTATAGTCCCGGGTGCCCTGGGAAACACTGGCATAAGTGTGGCTGTTAATCTGTGGCCAACAAATTATAGCTTTATCATTCAACTACTATTCATCAAAGTATATCTTCATAATTACTGTCCATTGGATCTAATTTAATCCATCTGCAAGTAGCTATGGTG